AGAGTTGTGGATGTGCACTACTGATGAGTCCTAAACCTGGACGAAGCGGCCGTCCAATGCTTCTGGGTTTCTATAGGTGGTCTAACTATGATTGATTGGTGATTTCAGTATGTAATAATTGTAATGTTAAGTAAGTGGCTCCTGAATATCACTTATTCGGTAAAAAAATTTTTATTCATCGCATTTTTTACCATAATCATTTACAACCCAACACCCTTTTTCTGATTTTATGATATCACCATTAATAAAGAAATTCGAATCTGTTTTAACTGTTATGATTTCTCTTCTTGTCTTGATACGAAGTAGATTTCACTGATTATGGTATGTATTAAGACATTTTTATAATAATAATAATAATATTATTATTACTATTACTATTGCTGATGTGAAGTCAAGCTGTTCGGAGCTGATAGGAACAATTGAAATATAGTGAATTCATTTGATTCTGCAAATATTGCTAATATCGCTCTATTTACGATTAAACGAGTAGTTATATGATCAAATCCGCCATGGATTTATACGGTTCATTGACTTCTGTTTATGGTGGTGATTCTTTTTCCTAACCAATGAATGACTCACTAATCGTGAATGATATGTAGTGAATTTCAATGATAATCGACTAATAAAGCTCATGTTAACTCGAAGTTCAATCAAACGATGTAAATACAAAACAGATTAATTGTCGATTGCAAATTCAGTCAGTCAGTCAGTCAAATGTAACGTAGAACTCCGTACGTAAGTACAACAGTTCATGTTGCCATACCACATCAGCACAGAGATGTAATCGTCAATTCAAATCCAATAGTAGAAGAGGTAGTAAAGGTATTAGAAGTAATCGGGGCAGGTTAGGATTAGAAGATATTATTCAAGAAGCATGATTCAATGAAAAAGGTTTAGAAAGTCAAAACTAGAGGTGTTGAAGAATCCAGAAGATTAGGATTTGAGAGAACATAAAGAATAAATGCACCGTCGGGCTTGCCTATCGTGATGAACCAACCGAGCTATACTGGCTAGAACATATGTTCTTGAAGGTTCTACCATGCCAGGCCGGTCGCTTGCAGAACGATGAGACTAAAAGCAGATACTCAAGGTCTGAGGGCGAAGTCGTACTGCTGACTGTAGAAGACTGTGACAGCAGTAAGGTGTTTCCCTCGGACAACCAGCATCTGCAGCGATGCTGCCTTCTCACAAGGAAGGGAGGGTTAGAAAATGTCGACCCTAAAAATGTCACACCTCACGGATTTCCGATTCCGGTGGTAAGGGTGCCCACTAAGGGCTTTTAAGAGCGGAGCTAATACTCAATAAACCTTTCATAAAAAGGCCGTGCGTGACCGGCCTCAAACAGTTGTCCCTTGGGCTCTGCGGTAACGCACACAGGTCTCCAAGCCCAACACTAATCTATCTTCCTTTTCAGGTCACTCAAGAACCAACCTTCCACGGTGTGGGCAGCCGGGAAGTGACAACCGCCCTCATACTCGTAACAGCACACGAGACCGAATTGGTCGATTGCAAATTACTAATTCATAATTTAAAAACTTAACCATACAGTAACACAAATAAATAACTCAATCATATGCGATACCAAAACGAAATAAAAGGAAAATTATTAATCGATAATTAATCTAGAATAAGAACATATATAACAATATTAGTAGAGGTGGATAGTAGACCACTAAGTTTGCAACGAGTTATCCGCCGCTGGCAACGGACGAAGGTTGCGCAATATCATGGATTGACTGAAGTTAGACATTAACACCTTCCGATACCCACACAGTGATCTAGAGGTTAATCGTTCGCGCGGCAGATCAAAGGTCCTACGTTGGATTTCCGCATACAGGCGTCGAGGATGCGAACTGCTGACGAATCTCATACTGAGACGAAACGACCATTCGATGCTTTCGGGTTTTTAATGGTGATCTAGCTTAGATGGGTTTATGATTTGAACTATGCAAATTCCCTTTCATTAACAGGAAGTTTATATTGGTTAGTTATGTTTTCTATACTAATAAAGGTAATATATGGATTCAGTGGTCCTCTGATTATGAAACTTCTAAAGTACAGATCTACATACTAAACTTTGAATTCAAAATGAAACAGACTGATAGGACTCAAACCCTAAGTCTTAAGTGCTTGGAATTCGAACATCTCAATTGTTAAGACATCACTCTAACTGAGTCTAACGATGTTTATTATGTTCATTGATCAGAAAACAACCAAAATCGCATTATTCATGGTCCAAATACGAGTCGAATACATTCATAGTCATTTTTAAAGCAATAATCAAAAATGTATTTAGGGAAATGTAAGTTGTAATAACCTACGTTATATGACTATTAAAGGCAAATCTTATTCAGGAAAATCGAACTTTGTAAGACACACATACACAAACACACAAGAACGAATTATCCGGCACTTACTTCGAAAGTAAAAACAAAAATAAATTTAGCTGCCAGTACATGATAATAAATTGAAGTGAATACATATGGTTCTGTAGACCAAGGCGGTGAACGATAAGCATCATATCTTATGTAAAATTAAAAATTGAAAAAAAAAATCATCAATATTATTCAAACAGAATGTTCAGTTTTAAACAAGTAAGAAAAAAAACTGCAAAAAATATTTCACCAAAGATTAAATTTTTTTTTAGAAAAAAAAGACGTATACATTTTGAAAGAAAGTAGGTTGACGTTCATATAATTAACAAATCTTTTGTTGAGGTCACCAAAAAGATAATTATTTTTTGCATACCTTTCTTCAAATTTGATTACACCATCAAATAGTTTTGTAGAAGAGTTTCACAATTTCAAAAATATCAAGAAACTTTTCTTAATTATGCCTAAAGTTTATCTTATTTTAACTATTATATTATATTTGGAAGGAATGATTCAGTAGCCACTATATATATATATATATATATATATATATATATATATTCAAAGCTGTTTTCCTCTAAATATAACTGTATGAATATCAAGCATTTTCAGAGTATTCAATTCTGCGTTAGACATAATATATCCAGTATAAATGTTATTTTTGCGTGTTTCAGTTGTCTGGACGTTTATTGACCTGAATCGAATTACAAGAATAAGCACGCATATATATATATATACCTGGGAAAATAAAACCTGTGGTGTGTGCACAAATGTTTTGTCCCCCAGCCTTTGGACGAATTAATTGATGCATTCTTCCCGAGCTGTCCATATGCCTTTCGAACTTATCTGTTTATCCGTTAGAACCTTGGTTGCTTTTATTTGTGTGTCTGCATTCTCATTCGCTTATCACATACATGACTAGCCTATTATTTTGCCTGACTGTACATACTTAGTCATGACTCACTGCATTGAGTTAGTTCACTCGCCTTCTCTATTTCGCTTTGCTTTGCTTACGCGCTATTTATTCTGATGCTTGCCTGTGTGAACGATTGCATGAGATAAATTCAGCCGCTAAACTACCGTTGCATAAGCGGGGTTCGCCTAACTGATATGCACAAATTAAAGGGAAGAGTTATTTCACAACATACTCGATCATCAGTAAATACTGAAGTCAGGTCGTGGGCCAATAAAGTGGTAAACCCCACTTCGAATTTCACACAGTCACTAAAAACCATTTCTTGATCAGTCACATGCACTTGTCATCGGGACAATCTCGGTTAGCACAAAAGTCTTCTTATTTACAGACTTTTGACTAGATTACCGTATCAAAGTAGAATCTTTGATTCTACTACTAGCCATGTGATGCGGTTCTTACCATCAAAATGCAAAATGTTGCTTCAAGATTGGGTCGCATTGGCACCTGAACTAGTGATAGGGAGTGAAGTAGTCGAGCGTGTAGACCGCTTCACTTATCTGGGGAGTCTCGTCAGTGCTGATGGCCTGGTGAATGACGAAATCTCAGCACGGATACAGAAGGCTCGACTAGCTTTTGCCAACCTGCGTCACTTATGGCGTAGGCGAGATATCCGTTTGCTGACTAAAGGACGAGTGTACTGTGCAGTAGTTCCCTCCGTCCTACTATATGGCTGTGAAACATGGCCAGTGAGAGTAGAAGATATGGGTAGGTTTCTTGTTTTCGACCATAGTTGTATCCGAAGCATTGCTCGTATATCATGGGACACCCGAGTGAGCAACGCTGTTATTAGGAATCGGGTGCTAAGTAAGAATGGCAGATCAATAGATGAAGTAATGAAACTTCATCAGTTGAGGTGGTTGGGACATGTGTTGCGTATGACTAACCACCGACTGCCACGGCGAGCTATGTTTTGTAGTGTAGGAATAGGTTGGAAGAAAGTTAGGGGCGACCAAACTAAAAGAAGGCAGAAATCCATGAAGTCATTGACGAGTGGACTTAGCCATGTCGTTAATTGTCGACTACCTGGTTGGGGTCCGCGAGATGATATTAATCGATGGTTAGAGACCCTGAATGACATGGCTCAAGACCGTTTGCAATGGCGTCGGTCCATTTATTCTCTGTGTTTTCTCAAATCCTAATCTTCTAGATTGTTCAACCTCCTAGTTTTGACTTTCTAAACTTTTCTCACTGAATCATATTTCTTGAATAAAATCTTAGAACTCTTATCTCTCCGATTACTTCTAATACCTTTACTACCTCTTCTACTATTGGATTTGAATGGACTATTATATCTCTGTGCTGATAAGGTATGGTAACATGAACTGATGTACTTACGTTGCATCTGACTGACTGACTAGCCATGTATACTAAATATTTTTGTTATCAATTAATATCAATAAATTATTTTGAAGCAAATGAATTATATAATGATGATATTATCCATTAACCGATATTCAATAATCAATTTCGTGTGAAAGCATATTGAACAATGAATGGTAACTAGTATCTTATCGACATACATGTCATCAGGGCATCACAGCTTTAATGTAAATGAAAATTAGATACACACATCTTCGTTATAAAAAAAATGTATACACTCAACCGACAAAAAATAATAATGATCAGTATTCCTTTCAAATTTAATAAATTACCTGCAATAAGTTTCATTAGTTGGAGAATTAAAACGATCTGTTGACATATATGAAAGAGTGAAATTCACAAAACCTTTCATACTTCCATCTGGACTATAAGCATAACGATATATACATCGATCAATAAATTGAGTAGTAAATGCAATAATACACGCCTAGATTGAATAAAACAAGGAAAAACCAAAATAAATGATGAATTAAGCTAGCAATCTTTATCAATCAGAATATAATCACATTGCATCATAAAACATACTCATCAATTTATTTAACAGATGTATTAAATCAAAGAGGAAAAGATGTAATGTCAACTTAATATGCAAATTACCACTGTATATGTAGGATTTTTATAAATTCTAACAAGCAATAAAATACTTAGGTTAGCGAAAAGACGTGACCAGTGGAGTTCAACTGTGTCAGGTGTAGGCAGTAACTGCTGAAGACAAATGGCTGAGGTCGCGAAAATCCCTAGACTGATCTAAGTTAGGCATTAACACCACTGGATGCCGAACCCAGTGGTCCAGAGGTTAAGCGTTCGCGTGCAAGACCGAAGGTCCTGGGTTCGAATCCTGCAGTGTGCAGGAGTCGTGGATGCGCACTGCTGATCAGTCTCATACCAGGACGAAATGGCCATCCAAGTGCTCCCAGGTTTCTAGTGGTGTTCTAACAATAATCTATTGATGATTTCAACGTGTAAAAGTGGTTAGCCTCTCTACGAAATACGATGATAATAACAGTTCAAGTATCATGCTAGTATGATCAAGAACTAATACTTACTAGAAAGTCATTTACACAGAATCGGAAAAAAAATTTTCTGATTTCAAAAACTTTTAGTGATTTCATCACTCACTATCTAGATATATTACTTCGTTTTTTAACAGAATGAGATATTTTAGGGTGAAACCTATTTGAGTAGAGTTTGTTAGTGAAAACAGTGTGTCTACTTAATAATCAAATAATAAAAATGAGACGAATGAAATTTTATTTTTTCGATAATTTAATTGCGACTGTCTACAGTTGACAGGGGAAGATGATTTACATGCAATTCAAAGAATTTAAGTAGTAGTTCAAGGTATCGGCATTGCAACAATACATTCTTAGAAGAATTCTATACCATTTTAATGAACAGAGAGAGATATTCAAAATCTATATTATACAATATATAAAGCTACTCAATAAAGTTTGTTTGTGGTTAATATTTAATCCTGACCGTAACTGCTAGAGCTTCATGAGGTGATTGGGCTTGCCTGTTGTGATCACTGAACAGAGCTAATATTGGCTGAAGCATACGTTCCTTTAGGTCCTACTATCACAAACAGGTCAATTGGAGAACGATAACACTAAAGGCAGTAACTTAAGAACTGAGGGCGAAGTTGTACTGCTGACTGACTGTATAGCGGTGTGATAGTAGTAAAGCGTTTCCCTCAAACAACCAGCATCTGCAGTGGTGCTGCCTGCTCACAACGGAAACAAGAGGTTAGAAAATGTAGCCACTAAAAATGTTACACCTCACCTTACCCCACAGATTTCTGTCGCCGGTGGTAAAACCTTTTGAAGAGCGGAGCTAACACTTCAAAAACTTCCCATAAATAGCCTGTGTGAGACTGGTCACAAAGACGAATGCTAGTCCAACCCACTGAATAACTATCTCTAGAAACACACTGAAAGACGTTGTGACGGACCAACTAATGCCAGCTCTTCATAACA